AGCTTGCCTATCCTTTCTGCTGGACCAGGGTCATCCTGGCAACACACCAGGGGACTAACCATAGCACAGCAAGGTCTTTGGTGGCCTCCTCTAAGGCCCTCATTGCCCTGCAAATTTGGGTGATGGTGAAGCTGGAAGAGGGAATGTCAGCCATTGATGGCCTTGCTCCTCCTTCCAGGAGCACTTTTCCGTGCATCAAGGCAATGTCACCACTGAATGGCATCACACAAAGTGCGTAAACAGAGAAAGGAAGCACAGGCAGATATTTTTAAGCCTTGTCAGACCAATGGATATTGTCAGACATACGAGCAGATCAGTGTTCTTGCTCATATGTTCCTCTTCTGTCACAAGCCAGAACTTCCCAATTCTCTGAAATCCAATTCATGAAGAATCAAATGCAGAAGTAACTTTTCGAATGTCCTGTTCTCCTGTCCCTAAGCCCTTTCCCACGAATTTTCATGCCCCTTTGTTTTTTTGGCATATGGTCAAAAGAAGGGGTCATTCCCAGGAACAACAGTGTTATTAGAGAGAGCTGGTGAAGAAATAGCCAGAAGAGAAAGACAGGAGAAAAGGCTTTGGTCACAACCCAACATCAAAGAAATCCCTGTGGTGGAAAATAACCACCCAGTTAAGTAACTTAAAGCCACAGGGCTTTTCCTAACCTATCATACCTATGATTTTGCCTAGTCTCAGATTAAGTCATTCAAGCTGAGGAAAGTCATCCTTCAGCCTAGTTGGTCCTGGTACTATAAGCCCTCCCTGATAAGCCAGTGTGAATTTCTGAGCACCATTCTCATCCACCTGCTTTCCCAGACCTCAGCTAGTGCCTCCAAATCTTCCCTCCTCAGGCTTGGCTCTTCACCTAACTCTAGTTTGGCAGGACTGAGGGTCAAATGAGCTTTACACTGCAGACCCTCATAGCAGGAGGTGGATGCATGAAGCTGGGAGGGGGGGAAGCTGGAGGGAAAGAGGAGGAGCAGTAGTTTTTGGAGGAGTTCAGTGGTTGATTTTCCTTGGCTGTTATGTGGAAGCACACTCTGCCTGTGTGAACCACACATGCTTGGCCACATCTGCTGCTATTGTAAGACCAGAGCCTCAGCAGAGCTACAGCTGGGATTGCTGTGCTTTCTGTCCCAGAAGGCCAAACTCCCTCTCCTGTGGCTCTATTCCTCATATTCCTTGCACTTGACACATCTTTTCTACGCTGTGGAACGCAACTATGTTCCTCAGACCGTGTCTTTTCCCACAGAAAGGAGAAACCTGCTCTGAAAGCAGAAAGCACATTCAACACATCAAACATCGCTGCTTGCACAATGCAGGAAGAGCATCACTGTTTCAAAACCTATATCATGATGCAACCTTCTTCCCTCCCATCGTCAAGCAGATGGCCACGTGTAACCCAACACATCCCACCAGGGTTTACTTTCGTTGCTGAGAACATCCAAGTTTAGCCTGCTGGTGCTGAATGGTGAGTTGAGACTGAGTGTAAGGCAGGCTTGGTGGGCCCCTCTGCTTGCAGGCACAACACCTCTCTGATGGGCTCCCCCCAGTCCCGATACCCTCAGAAAGGATATGGACACAACTGCCAGCAGCACATGGAGAGAAAACGGCAGAAGGGACAACAACACAGACCCTCAGACTCTGTTACCATGCAGGTGGGGAGCACTGGCATGCAACCCAAAATGAAAATGTCCCTGGATTTACATCAAGGAGCAACTGGCCTGTCAACCCTGGAGCCTCAGATCCACCGCTTGAGCCAAACCCCAGGTCCACAGGAACCGTCCAGGGTTGCTTCGCTGATGGCCCCAAGCTCAGAAGCAGGACTTGGAGACTACTAGGGAGGCCTCTGGATCCACACACTCTCATTTGCCAATATATCAGTTATAAACCTAACAAAGGGTAAGTAAAGATGAGTTTGCAGTTCTGTTTGTTAGATGTGGACAAGGGAGAGGCAATCACAGCCCTCAGCTCGCCACAGATGTTCTCTGTGTCCCTGACTTTTCTGGTTGTCCCAAGTTGGCATTGCAGTGCCTATATCTGTGGTAAAGCAATTATCCTGCTTATCTTCTGCCCTGCAGAATTATGGTTATTTGAACAAGTTAGACTATGCTGTATTTGTTTACATTTTCTTTTTAAGTCTGTGTTAAGGATGGCTTTTGGAAGCATTCTGAGGAGAATGGTAGGCACCACAATGAACAGATCACACTGATTTTCCAGCATTTCCCTTTTGCCCTGGGCAGTGAGTCAGGCCTGCTCTCGGACAGTTTGTGGAAGAAGGCAAGCTTGGAAAGAAAGAGGCAGCTATTTCTGCAACAAAGTCTGCTTTCTCCAGTAAGAGACCAAAGTCCAGTGTTCCCTGAAACCAAGTTGCTGCTTGGTCCTGCTGCCATGTCCAGGACTTGCTTCATCCAAGCCCTTCAATTCCTCTCCCACTATTCCACGCAGGATCCCATGTCCAGGCAAAAGCCTCTGCAACTGGCTTTGCTCAGGCTCAGGCTGTACTTGCAGCTGAAGCTCTTACCAGCTGTGCTGCTCTGGACAGCACGGAGGGATGCCATTCCCAGGGGATGTCAGGCAAGAAGTGAGGTTCACCCTACCCGGGTTAGCTGGAGAGAGCAAGGCCCTGTCCTGCTGAGGGCGAAGGAAGTGCAGAGCCAGAAGCACCTGCTGCTGCTGGGCGCCCATTCCCTGCTGCAAACATCCAGCCAGAGCGAGCACAGCAGCCCTGAGCATCCTGAAACAGCGAGTGCTTCCCTCACACAAGCACCAGGGTCACGCACCGCTGCCTCAGCAGCGCTCCTCACCGAGCTGCTGGTCCCAAGCAGACCTCACGTGGTGTTTGCTGCCCCTGCTTTGAATGCCCCTGTTATAGTAGATTGTTATCTTTGTCACTGGCCAGTGACAGACGTGCACCTGGGGACTGAGAATTGGGGTAAGCCCAGAAATATTCCCCACTCAAATAAAAAAAAATTCCTGCTCTCATTACAGAGAAAAAGGTGCTATTAAAAGAATGAGGGACTGTTAAGAGTTTGGCACTGGTGCAGAATGAACATGTTTTAGAGACCCAAAAGGTCCCATGGAAAGGCACCTTTGAACCTTGGGGGGGCAAAAAGATGAATAGGAGAGGTGAAAAATCAGAATTCTAGATGTTCCTTTACAGTCCTGTTTTGGGGACAACTGTAGGATGTAGAACTCTGCTCTGACCCAGCCATGTTTAAGAAGTGTACCATGCATTTTTAGTGTTCAACACCTGGCCTGAAGGCCTCATGTAGTTCTGAGGAAATGTCCCACAGGGTCTAAACCAGTATGTAGCTCCAGTGCTGCAGTGCTGCCCTTCACAGCCCCTCTGAACAGCAGCCCTTAACCCTGGGCTCATCTAGGAAGGTACATTTTTTTAGTCAGAAAGAATTACCCTTTTTTTTCCAGATGAATATAAAGGAAAATTCTAAGTAAATGCTAACCACAGCGTCCAACACATGGCAGGGGCATGCCAGCAAGCTTGCTCCAAGGTGGTACTTTCCAGAAGGCATATCCTGGCCACTGGTCCAATGCAGCGTAAATTTTCATTAAAAAATTTTCATTAAAAAAAATACAACAAAACCCCCAGAATGGTGCAACATAGTAAGTCTTTAACTCTTTGCATGGCTCAGCACTAGAAAGCCATTATTGCAAAGGGGGAGCAATCATGCCCACCTCCCCATGCCATGGGCTCAGTCAGGGCAATGCTTCTCTGCAACATCTCGGAGCTGGAGGTGCTCCCTGATGGAGAACGTTCTCCTTGTCCACTTGTGGGCATCTCATAGGACTTACACAAGGAGATCCCTTGGGGATCAATGCATGCATTGATCCCAAAGCCTGAAGACTGCTGCTCTCCCCAACCGTGGTTTGCAGGCTCCTGTTGCTGGTTCCTGCTGCTGGCTCATCGTCTGCTGTCTGCCTGTGAGCAGCCCTCAACATTTTTCTGTGATATATCTCAGACATCACTTAACTGCACTGTGCACCTTGGTTTTACTTTTTAGGAAGCTGAAAGAGTCCAGGAAACAGGAAGCAACAATGAGATCCAAACATCCCAGTGTCACAGGCATTTTTTTGCTGACATAGAGGTGTTCTCCCATCTTCCTGTCCTTTTGAGGAACCCTGCAACTTTCCTCTCTGCTCCTCTGCCCTTCAGGCTGGAGTAGAAGCCATTCCTCACAGACTGCAAGTCAAAAGTGGGAAGGGTTTTCCCTCTCACAGGCCCAAACCTTAGGAGAGAAAAACCTCACTTTGCTTTTAAGCATTGCACCGACCTAAATAAATTCAGAGCTGTTCCAGAGAAAACAAAATGAAGCAGAGAAGCAGAAAAGGTCACCAGGCACTGCTGGCAGTGTTGCCACACTGTCAGCTTCTTTTCCCACTTCCTTTTCTGTTACTATTTTCTTTACCAGATGCTTCTCAAACTCCACATTTGTAGCAGGCTGCAGAGGCTGCCCACATGAATGGGCATGGCATACCAAACTGCTTCTGCATAGCACTGTGCTCTCAGCTACCTGAATTCCCTCAGGACCCCACTCCAGCCCTCCACTCTCACTTGCCCCCAAATTCCCCAGGGACTCTGCTCTGACCCAGTGCTACATTTGTGATTGCCCTGAAATCCCCCAGGGCCGCAGCTCAAAAAATACCATGGCTTTCTCTCATAGGCATCCAGGGGGGATTTTTTTCTTTCCTTTCATGTAAGAGGTGCTGCTGCCTTCGGAGGTGAACCAGGGCTCTGGAGATCTGACGTGCAGAACATCAAGTGACTGCCGGTCGGTAAAAAAATTTGTCCTCCACAAAGCGCAAGCCCAGCCGTGCTCTGCCCTGTTTCTTGCTCCTCATTTGTGCTCCTGTCTCTTCCTCACCCACTGATTACATTCCCTCAGCCACCTAGCCACCACCATCATTAAAAACAAAGGATAAAGCAAGGCAGTGGGATCACCAGGCACCTCAGGACACTACATAAAGCAGCACCACGAGACACAGCAAAGACCAGACCTGGTTTGGGAGAGGTTGGGGTCACCAGGGAGCTGAGCCGGGCCACGCTGGGGCTGTGGGGAGACCAAACACCAAAGGAGGTTTTCTCATTGAAGGAAATGGTCTAGAGAAGAGGAGGCTTAAGAGAGACCTCATCGCTCTCTACAGCTACCTGAAAGGCTCTCTACAACTATCTGAAAGGAGGTTGTAGTGAGGTGGGGGCTAGTCTCTTCTACCGTGCCTACAGTGAGAGGACTAGAGGAAATGGCCTTAAGTTGAGACAGGGGAGATTCAGATTAGATATTAGAAAAATATTTTTGACTGTTCAGGTGGTCAGGCGTTGGAATAGGTTGCCCAGAGAGATGGTGGGAGTCACCATCCCTGGAAGTGCTCGAGAAATGTCTGGATCTGGTGCTGGGCGATGTGGTTTAGTGGGTTAGGGTGGTGATGCTGGGTGGATGGTTGGACTGGATGATCTTGAGGGTCTCTTCCAACCTCGATGATCCTATGAGTGGGCAGGCACATGAGCAAAGGTAAAGGCTGGAGAAAGGAGGGGAAACACAAACCAAGGCCAGGGAAGAAAGGTCTGTCCCCAGCGCAGACACCGAGCGGGGCCCTGCTCCCACCCACCACCCCTCAGGGGCTCAGCCAGCAGGAGGGAGGGAGGGAGCCGCTCACGCAACCCCGCGAGCAGGGGAAACTCTGAGAGCGCCTTTCATTTTTACTTCATTTTATTTTATTATTTTATTTTTAATTAAACAGCCCGTTTCCGAGCGGTGACTTCACCTCCCACGTGCCGGGAGCCCCGGCTCCCGAGGGCGCCCAGGACCGTCCCGAAAATGAAAGCGGACACAACCCGCGCCGGGCCGACCCCCCGCCCGCGCCGTGACGGGCCGGCCGCGGGCGGGGGGGTTGTCAGGGCCGGCGGGGCGGGCCGGGGGACGCGTCCCGGGCTGAGCGGGGCTGCCGAGACCGCGCCGTGCCCCATGTCGCCGGACCGCCGGTGGCTGCCGGGCCGGCACAGCCCCCGCCGGTACCTGCTGGCCGCGCTGGCGGCGCTCGCCGGCCTGGGGGCGCTCGCAGGGCTCATCGCGTAAGTAGCCGCCGGGGCCGGGAAGGGGCCGCGGCTCCCCGGCTCGGCCGGCCCCGCCGTCCTGCCCCGCCTGCGCTTGTCCCGAGGGAAGGCGAGGAGCAAACGCCGAGCTGGGGAGCGGGTGGGAGCTCTGCCTGTGCCGGCACCCGGCTGTTGTAGGCCCGAGGAGCGGGGCCGGGCGTTACCGCCACGGCCCGGGCCTGCCAAAGCCGAGGAGCTCAGCATCGCCTTACCCCGTACTTACCCCATACCCCTTGCTTTTGTACCCTGGGGGTCAGCCTTGCCTTACTTCCATACTTACCCCATACCCCTTGCTTTTGTATCCCCGGGGGTCAGTCCCTCCTTACTTCCGTACTTACCCCATACCCCTTGCTTTTGTACCCCAGAGGGTCAGTCTCACTCTGTACTGACCCCATAAAACCCTTCATTTTGTACCCCCAACAGTCATCCTCAACTTACTTCCATGCTTACCCCATACATCCCTTGCTTTTGTACCCCTGAAGGTCAGCCTTGCCCTACTTCCATACTTACCCCATACCCCTTGCTTTTATACCCCCGAGGGTCAGTCTCACTCACCTATACATCCCTTGCTTTTGTACTCCTGAGAGTCAGCCTTGCCTTACTTCCATAGTTACCCCACACCCTTTACTTTTGTCCTGAGGGTCAGCCTTGCCTTACCCCAGAGTACAAAAGTCACTGGGTGCAGTTCTGAGCTGGCTGCCCTTAAGAGGGTGGGGAACATGGTTGTGGTCACATAATCTGCACACGCTTCTGCAGTCCTACGTTTCAGCGAGGTACGACACGTGGCGTTGCCTTGGGCTGCTGCCACCGTCCCAGCAGGACATGTCTGGCTGCCCCTGGCCCAGGGCTGGGCTGTCTGGGAGCTGCCACTTACCGACGGTGGGTGCACAGGGAAGCATGTGCTGTGAAGAAAGAGATCCTCCGAGTGAGACGTAGGTGCTAGGCAGGGTATCCAGCCTGCTGGAGCTCAGCAGTACAGGCCCGTACTGAACTGGGAAAGACTTTATTTTCAATGTCCCTCTCTTTCTTTTTTTTTTTTTTCCTCCTATAGGGTTTTCTACTTTGAATCAGTCCGGGGGCAAAAAACGTCTCTTAAGAGGCTGGAAAACTATGTGGCATCAATGGTGCTGAGCGCAGTCGCTGACACGCTGGGCTATAACAATGGGAAGTGGGAGTTCCAGGAGAGTGGCGCAGTCATCCACAGGGAGCTGGCAGAGATGGGGGGAGTCGGCAACTTGAGCATCGAAGGCTGGAGAGTCAGCGATGACACGGTGATGCACTTGGCCACGGCTGAAGCCCTCATAGCTGCTGGAAGTCACCCCAGGTTACAGGATCTCTACTCTCTGCTTGCAAAGAACTACAAGGAGTGCATGAATGACATGGAGGGCAGAGCTCCAGGTAACCCCTCCATCACACTGTCTGGGCAGGGCTGTGCTGTCGCTGGTGTCTCTCCTCCAGCTTGGAGCTGAGGCTGGCCCTGGCTCCACTTTTGGCTGTTCACAGCGTTAACTGTGTTTCACCTAAAGGCAAAAGTGTTCCATGCTCAGTATCTGTTTCGGGATGAGCTAAAGAGGACAGAATAAGGCAAGCTGGAGTGGTTTGGGCTTCTCCTGAAGTAGGTGAAAAAGATACTGTTTTGCCCACATTTACAGAACACTCTTACAGGTGTGTTTGAGGCCTAGCCTTGAACACAAGGGAAGGATGATGGCTTTTGCACTGGGGATGCCTACACCCAGTGGATAAAAAAAATGCAAATCCAACCACATGTAACGCACACCCTGAGATGCTGTGTTAATGCAACACATTTAAACAGAGAATTAATACAGAACTTCTCCTAAAAAATGCCAAAATTACATGAAAAATATAATTAAAGTCACAAAGATCTTTGCTTTGAGTAATTATGTTTATTAAACCCAAAGTCTGCTTGTGGCTTGCTTGGCACATCTGCTTTCTGTGACAGGACAGTCAGGCCACAGTCTTCTTCCCTGAACCCTTTATTTCCATCATCTCTCTTTTTTCTGCATGGACACAGTGGTGCTGGGTCTGTGTCACAGGCAGTGGGCCTGGTAGTATTCAGGAAGGGCACCTTCACAGGCTGCAGTAGCCAAGCCATGTACAACATATCCCTGTAGTTCCTAGTTCAGCCAGACCTGCTGACCCAACTCTTCCCCGAGGATCCTGTCTGTCTCTGTGCCCATGGTCCAGCCTGTTCTGGATGCTTGAATTAAATTGGAGCTGCTGAGGCTGGACCTCTAATTTGACTAGTGCAGGAAGCGTGAAGTATCCAGGAAACACTCAAATTCAGCAATCCTAGGCAAAGTTTATACATTGGAATTGTATGTATGCCTGGACCTGCTTATTTGGAGTGGCCAGAATACGTGAAGAATGTTCTTGCTTGACATTAAACATGGGAAAGGCAAAAATCCAGCACTGCCACTGAGCATTTCCAAAATAAACCACGTTGGAGACTTGAGCAGGAATTTATTCTGCTTACCTTTCCACAGTGACCTCCTACCCATGGGTAAAGAATTAAATTATCAGTCTTCTTTAACACAGGTAGTTCCAGTTGTTGGCCTAATTAATAAAATATTTAGGAAGGAGTAATGATGCTTGTCAGGATAGCAGGAGTTGGCAGGTTAAAATTCCGAGAGATTCACTGCTGTTTTGGCAAAGGAGCATCATTTAGTTTCCCCAGCTGATGGGGTCTGCCAAGGTGGACTAACCACAGCAGGGAGCGAGACAGCACATGGGAGGTATTTTCACCTCCACCATCTAAGCTTGGTGACTAAACCCTGAAATGAAAAGACAAAGGACCTAAAGTTTAAATGTTAGTAATTAATAGCTAAGGATAACAGCACACCTGCTGCAGTCCTTCTGGGAGTAACTGAACAGCAATATGCCCAAAAGCAGCTCCCATTTGGAAGTGAAGAATTTGAAAGCAAATTTGCTATGGACACGAAGTGGAGCGACAAGGAAAGAAATGCACATTCTTTAGTGGGTCCAAGGACACTTGAACATCGTAAAAGTTTGGGGGAAGTGGGGAAAGAAATGTGGAAAAAAATGGAAGTCTGTTGGGAATGTTTTTGCAGCAGCCTTCTGGATTGTTCCGGATGCAGCCACAGGAAAGGCACTCAGTTCTGAGAGCTTAAATCCTGACCCTTAACAGTTTAATGCCCACTGATGTGCTATCAAAGGGAATACCTAATCCATATCCTCAAAAGCTGTCTGCAGTCTGGAGTCTCCATTCCATATTGATAGGTCCTGATGATAGGGGTTGCATGCCAATAACTTCTTTTGGCAGCTCAGAATAAATGGATTTTAACTGAGAAAATAAACCATGGTGGTGCTGTTCTGGCCTAAGTGAGTGCTCACTGGGGAATTGCAGCCCTGAAGGCTGAGAATGGAAAGTTGCTGTTGGAACTTTAATCAAACAGAGAAGAAAGTTCCCTATAACAGTAGGGGAAAGTCACACTGATCGCCCACGAGGGAGCCCAGACCTGAAAACCAAAACCTGCAGAAACAAAGGGATTCCCACAACGTTATGAGTCATTGGGCAGCCACAGCAGAGTCCCTCAGGGATGCAGCCCCAGGAGTGAAGTCATTATTGCTATTCGTGATGCACCACAGCCCCAAATTCATTGTTCCTCGCAGATTACAAAGCCAATGAATTAAGCAACACAAGCATGGAGGTACTTCTTTTTTCATGGCTCAAGCTACATCACCTCTCCAGGAGGCCTTCTGCTTCAAAACTCTGTCTTTCAGTCCAAGTTCTCTGCCTGTGGAATTATTTACCACTGTGTGGTTAACTCACCTTTTTTAAGTGTATTGATCAGTCTCAAACAACTGTTACTGTCTGTGCTCATGATGAGTCTAGATAAGTGGAATGGAAGCCTATTCCAGAAATACAGTGTTTCAAGTTGTTCTTGAAACCTTTTCAGGTTGCCTTTCTTCACACACTCTTCACTCTGTGTGTTTTTCTCCTCCCCTTATCAGACAAGCCCCCCCCCCCTCAGGTTACTTTTAGTTTCCTATTGTTAGTACAAAGGATTCCTAACAAGGATTTGGTGGATTTCCAAAACAATTTCCTGATAAAAAAACTCCTACAGCAGTTTTTTTTAAAAGGAGTTGTTTTTAAAAGGAGAACTGACGTGATTCCAGCTTAGTCTTCCTAAATCAGCTTTCAAATGTTTTAATATTTTAACTGTTTAAAAGCACGAGGATAATACTTGTAATACTTCATAAACCCTCAAGAGTCTTAGCTGTCATATGCTGGTTTGTTTTACACAATTTTTTCCACTTGCAAGTTATCAGTAGTCATCTCCTAAAACGATACGCACAGGCTTAAAGCTGCAAGCAAATTGTAATGCAAAATAACCAGTCTTTCTTTAGTCTTAAAGCCTGGTCATCTTCCTCGTTTTAACTACAGTTAATGCAAGAACAATCTCACTTTTTATCAAGGACTGAGGTGTGTGGTCTCAACCTGCCCAAACATGTCCTGAAGAAACGTTTTTCTCGAAGTTCCAGCCAGAACACGAAAAGTCGATACTTCTTGTAAGGGTTAGAGGGGATTTAAAGGAAATTGTCTAACGGTGGTTTAAACCAAAAGGAAACACCTTCCATAACAAAACTGTGGGTCTGGTTACCATGGGATGTTCAGACAAACCTAAACTCCAGTGAGGGAGAGCTGGAAAACATTTCCTAACAGTGAGGCAATGGGAAAGATTCCTGAGGAGCTCGTGGGGTCTCTGCCTTTAAAAGATCCTGTAAAGAGGTTAAACAACTGAAAAAGCAGAGTTACTTAGACTTGCCTTGTGTTAGGGATCCTACAAACCCTTTTGGGTGGGAGGGATGAGAGAGAGAGAGAGAGAGAAAGAGATGTGTATATATCTAATCTATTAGTGTATATATTTTATAGATAAGTTATTAAATATCATGAAATGTAAACATAAACAATGCCAGTAAATCAGCAGTGGAGTGTTTCTTACCTCCTACACTTTCTCATTATTTTCACAAAGCAGTAATTATCAGGTCTGTTTGGGAGGATACAGGATGCTGCAGCACTTTAAGGCAGCATACCTAGGTGTGCAGACAACTGGTGTTTTTAAAAGGAATCTCAAATCCCTTACGCAGAGTAACGCTTCCTTCCCCACCACCTTGCCCGTCTTCCCCTAGATCCCAAGCTACGCGACCCTACGTCCTACTGATGCGTGTTCCCTTTTGTTTTTCCTGGGCTCTGCCGCCCCTGTCCAGGTGCCACGTCTGTGGAAGGCACAAAGAAGCTGCACCCGGAGCAGCCGAACGGCTGGAGGATCCCGTTCAACCCGCGGGCGGGAGGCTGCGGGGGTGCCATGCGCGCCATGTGCATCGGGCTGCGCTTCTACCACCCCGACGAGCGGCACACCCTGCTCAAAGTCAGCATCGAGAGCGGCCGCATGACCCACCACCACCCCACGGGCTACCTGGGGGCCCTGGCCTCAGCCCTCTTCACGGCCTATGCGGTGAACCGCATGCCCCCCCAGGCCTGGGGCAAGGGGCTGCTGGACACACTGCCGCTGGCGAAAACTTACGTGCGGAACAGCGGCTTCTTCGTGAAGGAGAACATGGAGCACTGGTGAGCCGCGCTCGCAGCACCGCGCCTTCCTAAAGCCCTGCTTACCCTGAAGTGTCAGTAATTCTGTTGTGGTAAACTCTAGAGCAGCACATGCCTGCTGTGGGATCAAATCAGTTCAGAATACCTCTAACTTGGGGGGGAAAAAAAAAAAAGACAAAGGCAGATTGTGTTTGAGTCACGTAGTTGTGACTTTTTCTGGATCCGGTATGAGGTAGGTAGACTTGTCATCTCAAGCAACCGTGATCTGATGAAGGAGGTAAAGCAGGGCTGGGGAACAGCATCAGGCTTAGGTTTGAGCTCAGTTTGAAAGTTATAATCAAATGTGGCTGCAGATCCACTGTGGCTCTGTGTGCAGGGGCACAGAGGTAGAGTTACTCTGAATTTGGGAGGATGACTCAGCTCTCACTCTGAGCCTTTGAATCCTGTGCAGCATGACAGCAGCAGGTGCTGGGCTGCCTTCTCCCATGTGGCTGGAGGGAGGGGAAATCTAACTCACCGAAACATGTCCTTGTGCCTCTTACTGTAAATCACATCCCTAGTCTGACCAAGGGGGGACACCTACCATTTTGCCGAGCCGTTGCTCCGAGCTCTTGGCGTGGTGCCTGCGCAGAGCTCAGGTATGTGCTCCTGCCCTGGGACAGCTCTTACAGCCGCTCCATCCCGTCTCCTCTTCTACAGGCACTACTTTGAAGACCAATGGAAGAGATACCTGGTGGAGAGGGGCATATCAGACGGGGTCTCGCTGCCCACCTTCCCCGCCAAGTACGGCGTGGAAGAGAGGGACAAATTCTACACATCGCTGAGCTACGACGGCTGGGCGGGCAGCAGTGGGCACGACGCCCCCATGATCGCCTACGACGCGCTGCTGGGCGCGGGCGACTCCTGGACTGAGCTGGCTCTCCGCGCCTTCTTCCACGGGGGCGACAGCGACTCCACTGCCGCCATCGCGGCCTGCTGGTGGGGGGTCATACACGGCTTCAAGGGGGTTCCCCTGCCCCTCTACGCCCACCTGGAGTACAAGAACCGCCTGGAGAAGGTAGCCAAGGCCTTGTACGAGCTCGTCTAGGCGGGGGGAGGCACGGGCGCGCTTACCCACCGCCCCCTCCTCGCTCGCTCTGCAGACCCACTGGATTAAAGCTTGTGAGCCTTTTCTCTCTGCACGTGTGTTGGCTTCAGTGGGGAGGCCATGTCGGCTCTCGGTTGGGGCTGGTGGGTGGGGGGAAGCAGTCACAAGGTGGTTTGATGGGAGCAGGCAGCAGTCCCTTGAGCAGCCAAGCCCCGGGACATCCCTCCTCCGCTGCAGGGTGGCTGCGCATCGTCTGGTCCTCAGGGGGAGCAGGAGCACCCACTGCAGCACTGCTGGTCCTGCTGCAGGACTCACTCAGGCTGCCCCAAACCAGGGTCCTGCCCATAGGAGCGTGCCAGGGGATCAGGGATGCACACCTGACCACAGGGAGCGTACAGTGGGCTGGCAGAGATGCCTCCTGGCAAAGCTGCAACAGTTCTGGTCCAAGCTTGTCACCTGATACAGGGACATACTGCCACAGCACTGGGCACCTGTGGAGCTAAAACCTCTGCTGCTTAGCACAGAGACCAGAGGAGATGCATCCCAAGGCAACCTACTGCGGGGAGAAGGGGGGATGACAAGAGTTTTGCCATACGATTATTCTAGCAGAGAGTATTTTTTTGTTTTAAATGAATGTGGAAAAAACCCCAAACCCCACCTGTGTGAGCAGTGTGTTTCGCCCAATTCCACAGCACTTCTGCACTGCAGGTAGGGATGCATCATGCTACTTCCCCATTTCAGTCAGTGTGGGAATTCAAGACTCCTGATCAAATCCTTACTCACAGTAAAAGTGGGTAATGAGAATGAACAGGTTGCATTTTGCATCAACTTCTGTAGTGAACTATATTCTTCTGCTTTCATCAATGTTACTAAAGATTACTTGCTTCACATTTGCTATCCATAATTCTATATAAAAGAAGGGTTTTCTTCAAATCCAGGCTATGACACAGCAAAGTACTTACTGGTTTTGGAGCAATTCAAAAACCAGTGTATCCCATTCAATAAAAAGACCTGACAGGCCTCTTTTAAATGTTATATTCTGTTACGGTATGAATTAAGGGAGATGGAAGGGAGAAGTATGAAGAGCCAGAGGGTGCATGGAGTCTGCAAGCTCCAACCTGCAAGAGAGGAGAAGCTCTACCAGGGTGGGAGGGGAGTTATTGCATCAAGGAATGGTAGCAGTGGAAGAGGGAGAGGCTGCCCAAGAGGGGGCTGCCACACCTTTATGCAGGGAGTGCACATAAAGGCATAACAAAAGCCCAAATCTGACAAAAAGCAGCAGCAATAGGATTCACAATTTCAACACAGTTTACTACAGCTCTCGGGTGTGTTGTATAAAACATGTTTTAGTGCAACATAGTACAAAGTTTTTGTCGTTTTCTTTAAAAAAAAAAAAAATCCCAAACATTTTTCCACATCATGCATGGATAGGGTATCTCTCTTTCTTGTCGGGTTCGTTACAGAAAGTTACAGCAGAGAGAGTGGTTTGAAAAGCTCTGCGTTAAAACTCGTTACAGGAAGAGAGTCTGCCTTATAAAAACAGAGAGAAGTTTGAGACTGGGCAACACACTGCCAGAGGAATGGAGAAATGTCACTGGCAAGGTACATTCAGGGACCAGCGTGGGAGCTGCTACCCAGGACAGCCTGGGCTCTGTGCAGGAACGGAAGGGACCCGTTCCATCCAGGGGGATGAGGCCATGGGACAGCCCTCCAGGAGAGCCCTGCTGCGGGGCAGGCAGGCTGGCGAGGAGGAGCGTGGCTCAGACGCAGAGCAGGGCTCTCCCAGGGAAGAACAGCTCCTGCTGACTTCATTTTCTCTTCTTCCTTGGAGCTGGAATGAGTGGCGGTCCCTGCCCGGGAGCAGTATGTACAGGAGACAGTACATATGAAACAATACCCACTGGCTGCAGCTGCTGCTGTTTGCACCTCGGTTCTTCATTTCCATTCACTTCTCACCCCACTCCTCTCTTTGCAGACACCTCAGCCAGAAAGGGAAGACAAGTGTGCGGGTGTGCGATACATACATACATATATAGGAGTGTGACTTTATGCATATGCTGGGGCCAGCAAGCAGTTACGTCTCGAGGAGGCAGACTTCACAGGGGGACGAGTGAAATTTGGGCTTCCCAGCAGAAGAAGAAACCTATGCTGTTCTGGTAGAGGTGCAGAGGTGGCCAACTTCAAATGCCTTAGCGTGGGTTGATCTGCAGCCACGTGGGGTCCTCTCCCGGACAGGAGAGAGGCTGCGTGGTGCAGATCTCCTACCTGAAGCTTCACCACCTCTGAAACACCAAGGCATCAGGGTCTGACTAGTGCTACGGAGCATCTGCTGAGGTCCCCTCTGTTCACAAAGAGCAGTCCGACCCTCCCAGAGAGGACAACGGCTGTGGGTATGGCACCTCTCACACGCGAGGCAGGGGGGGGTCTTGTGGTTGTGCCCGTCCACCCCTGGTCGGCTTCGGCCATGCTGCAAAAGTATAAATGGCCGGATTTGCCAGGAAGACATCGAGGAAGACAACAAAAGGCCGTTTTTGGCAAACATTTCCTTCCGCCAGACATAACGCTTAGGCCGTAGGGGTGAGGAGGCGGTTTCCTCCACAGGACAGGGCAGGGGTTCTTGGCATCAGGGGTACAGGAGTTCAGGTGCCCCACGTGGCGAGAGCCCTGGTTTGGTTCATGAGAGCCATATCTTTCACAGAAAGAACAGCATTTCCTGCCACAGCGGCTCTTACAAGAGCAGGTGACTTTGCCAGGAGGGGGAGCTTACGGAGAAATGGTTTTTCCTCCTGAAGTCCCAGAAACGAAAATCAGCAGATGCACACACACACACACACAGGGGAAGATTTCTCTTCGCCAAAGGGCAGCACCCTCAGGGTGCTGATGTGCTGCAGGCTTCTTGCCTTGTCCAGGCTTGCACCAGGAAGTAGTGCAAGCCACAGGAAAACTCGTGACCCGTGGTGGTGAACTGCATGTCCCCGCTGCATGGCATGTTTGCTACTGGGCTCCTTGGCTGAACCATCCGGGGACTGTGAACCCAACCCGTGGAGCTTCCCCTTTCCTCCTTCCTAGAGTCATTACTTTGGTCATGTTGAAGCCTTCAGAGACTGGATCAAGCCTCCCATCCCCAAACGACTGGGGCACAGAGGGGATCCACCTCGTCAGAGGTGGCAGCATGGACACCAGGGAGGAACATGGCTCTGGTAAGCTGGACCACATGAGGACCCTCCTTGCTACCAACCAAGTCAGGGCTTTCAGGTGTCCTCCTTCCTTTCCCCCCTTCAGTTCTTTGAGACACACTGAACTGCTTTTGTCCTGATCACAAGCGTGCTGAACGTTCAGTCTCTCCAAGACCTGGGAACGCTCCCAAAAGGTGAACTGCTCCCTCCTAAGAGAACAGTAAGGTGGAGGCAAGAAGAGAATGAGACTACAGCCAGTCTTTGTAATGGACCTCCCAGAAGACATCCCAGTTAACCCCTCTGGGGATAGACCTGGCTTCATCTGTTTTGGAAGAGCACACCTTGAGAAAAGACCTTCTTCATCATGGCACTGAGTCTGAGAAGGAAAAACCGTCTGTTTTGGAAAACATGTACATTTACTTCCAAAGAGACTGTCCCAGGACCAAACAACCCCTGGGAACTCCACACTGTGTGGAGGGCAGGGGAAGCCTACAGTTCTCTGTATGACTGAAAAAGAAACAATAAAAAAGTAACAGCCCAAAAGACAGCAACTGATGGGAGTAAAATGAGTCCAAGAGGAACATCCTCTATGTACAGCAAGTGCCTCTGTTCATCAGGATGAGGGGGTGCATTTCCTGCGTGCTGGAAGAAGTCTTGGACCTTCCCGCTCCTGCTGGCTGGGCACCCCACACAGCTCAGCCTCTGCATCAGAGCACAGACAGGGAAACAAATGAAACAAGAACAACAAAACCCACTCTGTTCCTTGGGGTTCCCAGCGTGTCTCTGCTTTCTTCCCTCTGTGCGTCCCCCCAGGTGCCTCTGCCTCTTTAGTCCATGGTTCCCGGGTGGATGCTGAGCACTGGTGGCTCCAGGCAAGTGGGAGAGTAGTTGAGGTGGGGCTCTTTGATCCACAGCAAGGGGACCCCGTTCTTGCCCTCTGAGTTCTTGCTGGAGTTTCGGCTCTTGAATCGCACCAGGAGGATGGTGATGATCAAGATGCCAAAGATAGGGAAGGGGTAGAAGAACACGAAGTAGAAGAGGGCATCGTTGGAGCAGATGACTGACTGCAGGGTGGAGCCTGGAAAGAGACACAGGACAGTCACATTTCACGGTTTGTTTGTAATGCAGGGCACACAAAACTTCTTCAGAAATGTTAAAAATCAGACGCTCATTAATCTATGTCAGTGCAGGAGGTGGGGCTCTGAGAAAAATACCAATGCTAGAAAACAGCAACAAGAAAGTTATCACAGAGCATGTTTCAGCTTTACCCCCAAGAGTCTAATGAGTGATACAGTCCTCCCTGGTGGAGATTTTATAATATCTTATAAAGTGAGGAGGAGCCTTGCAAAGCCTTGATTTCCTCAGTGGTGCTACACAAAAGCAGCAGGACCCCCTCCCTTAAGGGCCCACAAAACCCTCATGACCTCAGTTATCTCTGGGGCCTGTATACCACCAGAGACTCTTGTGGCACAGCCTGTAATCCTGTGCAGAGCTAATCCAATGTCCAGGGTGTTTCCCAAAGGGAAGGGTTAAACCTCAGTGGGGGACAAAGTCTGCCCCTACTGAGTGAGACACGCTAGGTGGTAAGTGCCGTGGGCTGGGCAGCCCCTGCACAGAGTCCAGTGCAGTGTGAATACTCCAGCCAAAGCAAGAGCCAGGCAATGAGCCATCGAGCTGATTTGGAAAAGCACTGGCACCAGAGACCCGCCCTGGTGCAGGTGAGACCCAGGTCCCGCTCACTCCTTGGCCTTCTCCTCTTGGCTGAACCGAAGACGCAGGGGATGGCACGGCCATGACCCAAGGCAGTCGTCACCTCTCCTCACCTGTGCCCTGCACGTGAACAGCGACCGTGCCCGACTCCTCCTCTGCCAGCCGGTACCACACGCCCTTGGGGTCTGCCAGCCACTCCTCCACGC